ATCAGGTAATGTAATTGTGCTATGTAAATGGAACTTTCAGAGTGGCTAGAGAAAGTGATGCCTAGATTCTGCATCCTGACATGAAAAGTAGTCATCTTTGCAGTTAGTGCAGGTTGAATTCCACATCCTTTCTAATGCTAGCAATTTGGGTTATACAATCTAATATAAAAATGAGAAATATTTTCAGGTGGACAGTTGTATCATCATTCCTGAGGTCTGTTAGACTTAGTGTCCATTTTTCTTTGGCATGTGGAAGGGGAAACTCTTAATATTTCTCCAGCAGATACTCTTGTACTGTGTATGTAATACATGCCTTTTCTGACTGAATTTGAAGGCTGTGCGTTTGTAGCTGACTTGGATGACATGGATCTTCTCCTGTTTTCTAGAAGCCCAGCTTTGTATAGACTAGTCACTGTCGTCTATGTTGTAGCTGTCAGACTGTGAAATATTTCCATCTAGTCTATAGTTTTGTTTTGCTTCCTGGAGGAGGCAAACCAAGTGTTTTAATAGTGGGTGCTTCCTACAAACGGAAAACATTCTCCAGGGGAGATCTGGGCAGAGCAATGGCTGCTGCTGTGTCTAGGTGCATGGGGTACCATTTCCTGCTGCAGTAGAGGTAGCGTCTCCCAATAGTAGCTGACACCATCCTCACTCCATATGTGGCTGGCAGGAGCATCAGATGAGCTCTCTGTGGTGAGTTAAAATGGTGCTGTCGCTTACTGCTGAGAGCAGGAGAAAAGGATGCTGCTTTGTGACTCAGTGTGGACCACCTGATGTGTGCATTGTGTGGAGAAAAATGATAAACAGAATAGATGCTAAGCTGCTGTGTGTAAATTGGATAACGTGGGCACAGAAAACAGCAATGATCCAAACATTTTATCTTTTTAAGGCTGTGCAGATGATCCAGCTGTGATGCTCAAGTATATTCTTAACATTGTTTGAAAAGTTGAAGCTGGAAGTTTAAAAGATGGAGGTACATCATTATTCTGAACACAGTTAATGGAAAAATATTGAGGGAAACAAATGAGGCACTATGCACAGGTCTTGTGAAAAAGAAAAATAGGTAGTGGAGGGCTGGCAAAACTGCAGTGATGTCTACTTTCTAGTACTCGTTCTTTTTCTCTAGCAAGCAGAGCAACTCTGGGTAGTGTTTCCCTCCTTATTCTTGATTGCGTGCTTCCTTGTGTTTCTGTGGCTATGCAGTGGTTTGGATGAGGGAAAACTCATAATTTGGTCTATGGATCAGATAATTTTCATTTGGAAGTTGCCTCCTGGTCTAATTCACTACAGCAAAGGGAGTGTGCAGTTTGTGTTGGGGACCTCTACTTCCACAGATACTGCTGATGAAACTAGAACCTGGGTCTCCATGATATGATTAGTTGCTCAAACCATAATTCAGCAAGCATGATTTGCTCTTCCTTTGTGGCATCTACTTAGTTTTGCTAGTGCACGTGTTTGCAAGTTTGCATGGCAGGCAAGATAATGGAATTGATTGGAGTTAAAAATAACCATTTGTTTCTTAGGTTATTTGCAAACTAGATTAGGTACTCAATCAACCATGCAGCCCTACAAATACAGTACTGTCACAATTGAATGGATGTTAGGACTAGGAATAAGAGGCTGCCTACGTTGGCAGTGTTGTAGGAGACTTATTTGCCAAACAATGGCTTTGATTTCTTAAATTCAATATCCATTTAAAAAAAGTACAGATCAAACTGATCTAACAGTTGGAAGCATTGCTTCCTTAAGAGTTATGTGTGTATAGATATTATGATGTCCACTTTTTTCATAGGCATGCAGAATTTTATGTGCATGAGTGCTACGTTAAAGATATTTAAAGGATATTCAGTGGTCTGCTTCATGGCATTTGATTTAGGTCAGGAGACTGAAAACGTACTTGCTACCAGTTCTTGATCATGCTGACTGCAACTTTTCTGAGAACTGAAGGGCTTCAAGGACCTGGTTAATATCCTTAAGTATTCATGGTAACGAGTCTTCATTTTGTTATAATGAACATAGCAGAATATGTTTCTCTTGTTTTCAATATTCTACACAGAAACAGTATCCCATAGGTTACTGAAACTGCTGTACAGAGGCTATCAGTTTGATTAGGGCCAAATTAGTATTATTATCTTTCTCTAGAGAATTTTGGTATGTGTGGATATTGAAATAACTTTTTGCCTGCCTTGCAGTCAGGTATGAAGCATATTGGCTGGTATTTTGGTGTTAGGAAGATCAGAGTATCACATCTTAGTCTGATGAGGGTTATCTTGAAATTGGTTTACTGGTAACTTGAAATCATGATCTTACTTGCAAAAATCCCTTTAGTTACATAGTTAAATGCTCAGATAGTTATCAGCATACCATTTAGTTGTCTAAATCCATTGCTACGTTTGAGCATGACAGCAGTTGTAAGCAATATAATTTGATGTCCATTGGGAGTATACATGGGGAGCTTGTTACATAGGAGCATATGATAAGATACCATCTCTGGAAATCTGCTTTCCAAATTAAAAGTTAGATTTCATGCTTAACACAACTTAGCATTCCAAGTTAAATTTTAACTGACACTTTATTATTACATTTCCACAGGGGAACTTTAGATTTGCTATAAGTATTCCAGACTGTCTTTCCTAGTCCTTGTGCGAGACCCAAGCTTTCATCTCTTGAAAGTTTTTAGGGTAAACTTGGTTGTTTTAAAATGGTGTCATTAATTTAATTTTTGTTACTGTTGTTGTGAAAGGCTTGACAATAGTACGTTCAAATAATCATTTTAATTTGAAAATTCAACACATTCTGCATCTTTCAGTATACAGGGAGAAAGTTCAAACTTCAATTTTGCTGTGCCAAGTGTGAGTAGAGTTTGCTTCAGAGAATTTTGGGCTCTGTATAAAGGCATGCAGAGCAAATCGTAATTGTTCAGGTTATCAGCCAAATACACAAACTAGACCTCTCAATCTTAAGGGTTTTTGTGCTAATAACAGTTCCAAATGTGTTTATACGCTTGTTGTTTTATGAAATTTTTTGTGTTTGAACATTGAGAAACCTGTTCCTTACTGGTTTGGACTGGTGTGAATGGGGGTGACTTGAATTTAGCCATTAGGTTACATAAGTGGAAGGACTAGTTCTGAACATGTATTCATATTTGTGCTTCTTTAAGCAGTAAAACCATAGCAGGGGCTCATAATTTCTAAAATGTGATAGATTGTTTTCCTTTTGTTCTCAAACATTTTGGCTACTAATGAAAAAATACCGTGTGTGCTGGCCTCTATGCTGCTATTCTGGATGTACAGTGTGCTAATGTAAATCAGCAGTTTCTGCTTCTATAAATAGACTTCGTTAGCAGCTGCAGAGCAAAACTGACACGCTTCTGGTCATTTTTATTATGGCCATTCAGAAATTGTTTGAATAGCTGTGAAGGTGTCTCTTGGTATGTATGCCTGCTGTAGTGATATTTGCAGACTGAGCTGAGGTTATGAGTAGGGAGAGTGAAAGAAAAGTGCATTTATAAGCCAACAGTGTGAGAGTAGAAGCAGAGAGCTCTGTGTTCCTTCATTTGGGAGTCCTTAAGCTGAGTTTGGAACTCTTTTGTATGAAAGACATGCTATCCATCTGGCTAAAAGTCATGAGTTCTTAAATGGGGTCTGGGGATAGCATTCATCTAACTTCTTTATAGCTGGATATAAGGCAATGAGCTCTGTTGGTGAACATCATCATACTGTGCCCTGAGAAGCTGTTCCCTAAAATTTTTGGTTCCTTCTGCTGTTGGGTCTGTTTTTGTCTGCTGCATGGTAAAGAAACAGCCAGGCAAGAATGCTTACCTTCTACAGCATTCCTCCCCTCCTGCACCATCGCGGGAACTCTTGTGTGGCTGAACAGCAGCTGCTGCTATCCTCCTTTCTAGAAGGCTAGGACGTGGTACCAGTGTGGCCTGCAAGAATAAATGCTAATAGGCCCGTGAAGTTACCATTCTTGTTTGTGGACACAGGAGAGGTTGCCAGGAAAGGAAAAGTACTGAATACCTTTCATGTCAGCGTTTAATTGAAATCCTGTGTCTGTGTTTACATGTGTGGGTTTTTTTTTTTCATTGATAGGTAGCAATCTTCTTAAAAGAGTCTTACTACAAAGTCTCAGGAAATATCTTGGGTTATAAGGATTATTTTCCTGAAGTAGAGATATGCTTACTTTTAGTGTTTCCCAAAGTATATATAATAAAATGGATGGTAGTTTCAGCTTGTGCTGAAAGATGTGGAATGACTTTGTATTCCCCCTCTAATATTATTATTTTTAATGTCGTTTGAAACGTATGTATGTTTTTAAACTAATAATGCATGTCTTCTGGCTTGATAGTCTAAATATTTTTAGGTGGTCTGCTGCTAGAGAATTGGATCATACTAATCTTCATAGAAGAAAATACTGGCAATGTGAAAAAGCACAAAAGACGTTTAAAAAGAAAACATGGACTGTTCTTAAAAATTCTTCCTCTCACATTTTATTCAGCTACCATTTTGAGGGAGTAATTATAGTTCATTCACTGTGAACCACCATTTGTGGCATTAATGAGGTATAAATAATTGGGAGAGATGAGGAATATGGTATTTGGCAGATCCTCGTAGGCTGTTATGAGATCTAACAGAAATACAAAGTTTAGAAGAACTAAATAATTCTAAATAGTTCAATGTTTAGAAGCACTAAAGAATAAGTATCTCAGAGTGCTTTTAAAGTTTATTGCTAAAATACAGTATAAAAAGTTGCACTTTAAGTATTTAAAGAAAAGATGACCCTTTTGTATACTAGCTTAATTCCTTCTATAAAGTATAGAAACTCTTAAAATGCAAAGTGTCTTTTGTGGAATGAATGGAAAGGAGGAAAAATGGTAACTTTGATGTAAAATTAATTTGACTTTTATAATTCCTTGTCCTTTAAAGACAGGCAAAAGGAGTTAATTCCAAGGGTCTTTGTGTGAGACACTTTACTAAATAAACCTTTTGTTTCTACTTTTAGTCAGCAGATAAGCAACGAGCCCTGGAAGAAACCAAAGCCTACACAACGCAGTCATTAGCAAGTGTAGCCTATCTGATCAACACTTTGGCCAACAATGTTCTCCAAATGCTGGATATCCAGGCATCCCAACTTCGACGCATGGAATCTTCAATCAACCATATTTCACAAGTGAGACTTTTTCCTGATTTTTTTTTTTTCTCCCCTCTTTATTCTTGAAATTACACAAGTGAAACTCTCACCTGACATTTTGTGAATGAGAAAAATAGTCGCATTTAAAACAGAAGGATGCATTTCTTTTCATATTTATTCTGGGAATGCATCTCATTATATGATTGTATATATATGTTAGTGTGAGCATTTTACATAGGATAAGAGATTAAATGTATTGTTTGCCAGTTTATTGGTCCATTCTGCATAAGTGAAAAGCAAAGAAAAATCACTAATGGAGGAATCAGAATATTAACTTAAGGGGCAGATTAAGCTTTCCAACTCATATTTAGTGACTTACTGTACTTGGTATTTACTGTCTACAGGCACTTAAAAGAAAGAAATATGAAGTGGATGGTGGAAAACAATACTTGTCTTCTTTTTACTTTTCCTGTTGCTATAACACTGGCATCTAGTGACAAAAGCAAAGATGACAAAAATAGTTTGCTCCTGGCTTTTCTTAATAAAATGTACTTTGCAATGACATGAACAGAAGGCAAAATTCATGTTTCAAGCTTGTGTATGGCTGCAGAACTCCTACCATTGTTTGCAGTTTTTCTGAGCAGCAGTAAACAAAACTACTGTTATCAGAAACCCATGTCCCATCACCACACTGTTGAAAGAATTTTGACTGCCAGAATGGGCTGAGTGTAGATGATAGGTTTATTGGAGGTTTACATGTCAATGATGGATTAAAAGAAAAATTAAGAGCAATGATACAGCACTTTCTGTTTTTCTGTTACTGGAGAGTTGGTTGGCATCCTTACGGAATGTTTTATGTCTTGTTTGACCAATATATTTTGGCTGCTAGGGTTTCTTGATCTCCCTGTGATAATGTCGTAAATGAAAATAAAGAATATTGTGGTATTTAGAAAGACATCTGACAGTAGGAGCTGTGTAAGGTAGGAAATAAAAAGATTGAGCTGATCTGTTAACTTGCTGTGGCTGAAAAGGTTGCTAAGCTAGTAAAGGTTTGAACCAGCAGAAGTAGTGAATAATTTTATGCTAGTTTAATGGGCTGAATTGGCTCACTGAGGGGTCAGATGAATTCCAGAGCAGGTGCAAAGGAGGGAGTGGGGAGGATTTTCCTTTCTGGTAGTAATACACTATTAGATTGCTTCAGTTATTATTGCTTCTCATGCAACTGCATCCTCAAAAATAAGCTGAAGTTTGATTTCTTCTGCTACATGCTTCTTGTTAATCCATGAACGCTTAAATTCATTTTTTTCCACAGAAAATGTCACAAATTACTCTGTGTGTGTGTGTGCGTGCACCTATATATGTGCTGTATACATGCTGTACATGTGTGTGTATGCCTCTGTGCATAAATATGTGTGTGTGTGTGCTTGTGTGTTTATGTATGTGGTGCTTGACAAGCTAGTGCTAGCTGACAAGTATTTCAGCTATTTGAGAGCCTGACGCAAAAGAGAGTATATGGATAAAAATATTCAGAGTTCGGTGGATTTTGCATTTTATAGATGTGGAAAGTTCATTTTATCACACAGTTTCTGTAAAGTAGCTTTTGGGGAAAGGGCCATAGCATTTTACATTTTTGCCTTCTGAGAAGCTAAGATTTATTCAGATTGAGATGCTATGTTAGATTGTCATTGTCATTTATACAAAATGGTTAGTTATTTAAAATGGGAGCACTAAATTACCAGTGCCCAACACCTAATGAGGATGTATTTGCCAAGATTCATAGTCTTTTATAGTTTTGGGTAAAATTGAGGATGGCTTTAGTTTTGGTTTTTTGGGTTGGGTTTGGGGTGTTTTGTTTTTTTTTTTTGTTGGTTTGGTTTTTTTGAGTCTGCATTATCCATATGTAGGATGCTCCCCAAATCTTTGTGGAAGAAATAATATCAGAGGAGCAGACAGTATTTGAATTTTGAATGTTACATACCCAAAATGTGTTGATCCAAGGAACTTTATTAAGTTGAATTCAGTATGTTCAGAAATGGCTTCACGCCATGATACCAGTGTTGTAGATGGTTATATTATCTGTCTTAATTTCAGTGGTTATTTTTCTTTAAAAAATGAATTTATTTTGTCACAGTTTCTGTATCATAAATAATTTCTTTTCAGAAAATTTGATTATACTTCTCCTGGAACAAGCCTAACCTGCAGAGGACTTCCTTGGTCTTTTTTATGTTGGGAGTAAAGTTTAGTGGACTGTTTCTAGTACCACTTAAAATGCCTCATGGTATAATACCTCATTGCCAGATTATGATTTCAGTCAGTCTGACTTGAAATTATGTCAGTAACATAGAAGAGAAAACAGGTTGGTAATTACCATGTGCTCGTAGTGCATCATTGCATTAATGCTTTGATCAGTAGTTACTGATATTTAAGTTTAGAAAACACTAATGCATTATGATACCTGGATGTATAATCCTGCTTTTGATTCTGATTTGGAATTCCACATGTTCTCCAAAGAATGGAGCAAAATCATTTGGCTCGTAGCAAGAAAACTTTTTCAAAAGTGCTTGTTTTGTTCAAGTGTAGCTCAAATGGGAAGAGATGTGATTAACTTCAGAAGATAAAATATTCTAGCTCCCTGTTCATTGATAGAATGGCCATTTATATAACTTTCTATGTTTCCTTCTAAATGCCAACTTAATCAAAGAGCTGAAAAGGAAGCTGATAATCATTTGTGGTTTTTCAGATTATATATATAGGTCCTGAATAAGGAAATTGTTACCATTGAAACTATTTTTGTGCAAATGATTAAATCCTATTGGTTTAAAATTTGGGGTTACTTTGATTTGGTCTGAAAGCTGGTGAATCTATTCTTATTTGCCTTCTTGAACCTTGTCCAGAACTAGATGATATGTAGTGTTTCATATTTGGCTGAAAATTTAAATCCTAAATGCAGATCATCTGTGTAGATATTTATACATGTCAAAAAAATTGTATTAAAGTTTTCAAGTGAATAGTTGCTAACATCCAAATTCTTTAAATTAATCTGGCAGATTTTCAGGTTTTAATATTTGTATGATGAGAATTATTTTTTCAGGTTTAGTTATAGAATACTCTTAGTTAGCAAGGCCATCTTTAAAACTCTTCTCTGCTACTAATTATATAAAAAAGCAGTATTATCACAAAGATGAGTGATAGTGATGATTTATCTCCAATGGCACTGCATGGTGGGGAAATCTGCTTCATCCTCTTCTTACGGAATCTGACTCCCATGATACTGGCTGTGAGAGTCTGTATTGAATAGACTGCAGACTTGGAACACCTCTATAGTCAGCATGTGTTGCTTCACTGAACTGTCGCAACATGTGTGAGCTGGCTCATCTCTTCAGGGCAGTTCACTTGGACCTTCCATTGATAGGTAAATAAAGGCTCGTGACCATTTTCAGTTGTCTTACTGTTGCAAGTTACAAGAATAGCCAAACTCTTTCAAAAATGGTAATGCAAGTCTAATTTTCCACAGTATATATTACCCATTTATGAAGCAAGTAGCTTTTCAGCATTTTTGTATCATTATTACCTCTTTCTTTGTGTATAAATTACGTACAACTTGAGCTGAAGCAATCAACGTCACGTTTCTAACATGTCAAAATTAATCCAGTCTTAAAGGTAATTTGCAATTAGTTTGTTTAAATTCTATCAAATTAGATTAAAAATAAAAGCCCAGAAACACTGTATTTCAGCAATGTTTTCTAAGATTTTTTAGACTGAATTTTAAAAGCCCAGACTACTAACAGACTGACAATAAATTGATAAATTTAAATTAGAGTATTTTTAGAAGAGACAAAAATCAAGGCTTCTGGAGACTTTATTTCTGAAATTTCACTACAGCTTAGACTTTCAGAGTGCTGTTGTGGTTTAACCCCAGCAACTAAGCACCACACAGCTGCTTGCTTACTCCCCCTCAGCAGGTTGTGGGGAGAGAATCAGAAGGGTAAACTGAGAAAACTTGTGGGTTTAGATACAAAACAGCTTAATAATTGAAATAATAATAATAATAATAATAATAATGAATTGTAATGAAAAGGAAAATAACAGAGAGAGAGATATAAAACCCAAGAAAGAGAAGTGATTCAAATGAAAACAGTTGCTCACCACCAACTGACCGATGCCCAGCCAGTCCCCGAGCATTGCTCCCCCAGCCAACCTTCCTCCAGCTTTATATGCTGAGCGTGACGTCCTATGGTGTGGGACATCCCTTTGGTCAGGTAGGGTCAGCTGTCCTGGCTGTGCCCCCTCCCAGCTTCTTGTGCCCCCCCAGCCTCCTCGCTGGTGGGGTGGGGTGAGAAGCAGAAAAGGCCTTGACTCCGTGTAAGCCCTGCTCAGCAGTAACAAAACCAGCCCTGTGTTATCCAGACTGTTACCAGCACAAATCCAAAATGTAGCCCCATACTAGCTACTATGAAGAAAATTAACTGTACCCCAGCCAAAACCAGCACAAGTGCTAATGTAATACTTCAAGAAATTTCACTTACAGGTAGAAGAGGATACTTCTGAAAACTCTGAGGTCAGTGACATTAAGTGATGTGATAAATAGTGTTAACTTTGGAATCCCAGAAATGATTTAATGTTTTTTCTGTTTTAATCTTTGCAGTTCTTGAGGCTGTTTTAATTGCATTTAGTATGGAAACTTGATGTTTCAAAATGGCCAAAAAATTCTTAATAGAAAAAAATGCAGTAGTTTATACTTTTTTCCCCCCCTTTAAGCTATCCCTTGCCTTATTGCAGGCATCTTGGAAAGCAAAGGAAAAGATGATAGTAATGAACCTAACCTCTAACAAAATGTCATTTAAAAGCTTTTGCCAAAGGTGATAGAGGTATGGGGCGGGGGAAAAATGTGTAGTAAAGCTGTCAGGAGTCTGAAATTTCTTGTTCGAAAGTGCTTTGAGTTATAGAAGGGCACAGTGTATCCCATCTGCTTTTCCTAACAGGCTTTCCAAGCCAGGTGTTTTGTTAGTCCAGCTCTAACCCCAAAAACTTCTCAGTAGAAGTTTCTGAACTGCTGAATAAACATTCTGCTAGCATTCTCCTGTGTCGCTTAAGGGATTGATGCTAGTACTGGCGGCAATAATTACCTGTGTGTTGAGGATAAATGTTTTCATTTTCTTCAGTAGCAAGTTAATCTTTGTTTCTTTCTCTACTAATCAAATACTTCAGTGTTCCTTTCTGCTGTTTTATAGGTGTCTTAAGATCTTATGACTCCAGTAGTCTACTAAGCAAGAAAATGAAATTTTTGAAAAATCTGCCAGCAAAATGCTTTTCAATACAATTTTAGGAGTACATACCAGAATTACACACAATTTTTATACTCTTAGTTGTTCCATAGCTATTAATGGTAAAAGAAATGTTCTGAATCATTGTGAAGAGAATTCACATTAGATGAGCTTCAGGTTTTAATTAGGTTTTATGCATTTCATTGTTTGTTACTGTAGTCATGCCTCACTGATCACCATAGTCCTTAAGGAAATTGGTTGTACTCACAACTCCTATGAATAATTAAAAAACCACACTTGTCATTCATAGAAACAAGTTTCCACAGTGCCAAGATACCACCACTACAATAACATGTGCATTAAATATCTCTGCTCACATTGCACTTACAGATATAAGAAAATACTAAAATAAAAATCTTTAACGTTGCAGAGATCAAGCACTTGAAATGCAGAGAAGGGAAGAAATCATCTTTCCAATAGTGCACTAAAGAGTGTAGTGTCCAAGGCATAAACTAGTTTTGAACGACCAGATTCAGACCCATAAGATTTTGATGTTTCAGTACATTTGAAACATCATACAGCATTTGAGGTACAGCTGCTATTGCAGCTGAAGTTGTTTAACAGTCTAGCAAATGGCATCAGAGGCCTGTGAGACAAAGAACATACAAGAGTCAGTGTAATGTTTCTGCAATTCTCTAGTGACATGTCTAGATCACAGATGAAGTCTGAGATAATCATAGAGATGGAATCCTTCAGTGGTATTAAACATGAGACTGTTCTCCAAGTTTTTGCAATCGCATACTGTTAGCTTATCAAGAAAGTATGTGCTTTCTAACTCCTCAACAGATGAGGTGAAGATTCTGTAGACTATCTCTTTGGTGTGGCTGCTGCTTGTGCCAGAACTTCTCCTTCTACTGTGCTGCAAAAGCAAAGGTCTGGCACAGATAAGGGATAAAAACCTGTGATGGAAGATAAAACATTGAATTTTACCCTGATGCAGAATGGTACACTTTTGGTACTCTGGCCTGGAACGTGTTTATGTGCTCTGTTTGCATTGGTGCTTGTACAATCAATAATCTTGTAAGAGCTGCGAAGATCTGATTTGCTCTGTTGTATTGGGGGATAGTATGTAGACCCAGTCATCACCGAGAGCTTCAGCAAGGACTTTGGCAAAATTGGTTGGAGGGTGGTTAATTGTTAAGTAGTTGTAGAAATATATGTGTTTCTGTTAAGCTTCTATGAACCGTGAATTTCTGCCAAGTTTATATATGGGCCAAATCTGGGTGGGTTTTTGTGAGGGTAATGGAGGATGTGTCCCAGATAATTTAACTACCCCTACTAAATTTCGAATCATGCTCAATGAGCTCAAGCTTTCCAAAGAGAAGGGTTGTCAACATATTTTGACCTTGAATAATCTATTTTTTGCCGCTTTGTTTTAAGAAATAGCTCTGCAGCTTTAGCAGAAACCTTACAGTTCTAGGCAGGTGGTACTAGAGGTGGCAGAAATGTACATGACAAAGCTGTATTCAGTGCTTAATTTTAGCAAAGTTGCAAGATTTTGAAAATAGATTGCTGGCAAATACTAGGTAATCTTGATAGATCGTAATTTAAGCTTCCATGTAATGCATCTGGTATTTGTGGAAATTATTCTTTGGAAAGAATGAGAAGAAACAACTTCTTGGAAGTGCTTTTTTTTTGGTTTTTTTGCAATTTTTGGTTGTGATGATTGTGCAAGGTAATACATGTTCCATTTTGCTTGTTTTGATACCAGTAGCAAAAAGTAAAATTTATAAGATGTATGTTATGAAAATGAGTTGTCATTTGTACCTGTTCCTTAGTTACTACAGAGCCTCTCCCCTAGCTGTGAGAAGTCTTTCTGGTACCATTCATAATCACTGAAGTGGTAACAAGAAATCCTATGAATGTTTAGAAATCCTAATGGGGGTGATTCTGGCTGTTTTCTTACTTTTTTTTATCCTGTAGCTAAAATGTTTGTTCATAACTCAGGCAAATTTCTTGTAAGGAAAGCTGTTTTGTGACCAAGGAATTATTTTTGTTTTAAATGATGCAAACAACCCTGTGCACTATGATTTAAGAGATTTTCTTTTCCTGGGAGATGCAGATAGACTTTTTGGTAACTTTTTCCTAGTCTTGTTACCAAACAAGATTTAAGTACATGTTTTGAGGCAATGACTTTTCAGCAGGGCTTTGTCTTATACTATGAGATTCTCCTGTGGTACTCATTGTAATACATGGAGGGAGGGATTTTCAGTGTTGGCCTTAGGCATTCTAAGTGAAGGCACTGGCTTCATTGTGCATAAATCAGTACTGAGCACCTTCTAAAATCTAATCATTGCTTTGTGATGGGTGATTTGTAATGACTGAAATACCTTGTCGATTTGTCTGAGTGAAATTTTATTCTATCATATAACTACCAGTCCTAGTTTAGCAAACTGTTTTACAGTGTAAGAAAACCTCCTTATGGTTTGTTTTTCAGGTATCCTTACACTTCATCTAGTTGGAGACTGTTCCAAAGACAAGCTTAGAGAACAATTGTAAAATTAAAAAGGCTAATTGACAGAATCGTATAAAACAGTATCAGTAAATTAATGGGAACTACTAAGAATAGAAAGCAGAAGGAATTTTGCTGAACTGTAGAGCATGAGAGTAACAGAAAACCCAAAGAACTGATGGCTATTAGTGTGGGTTTAGAGGTGGCAAGTTCAACAGTAAATTGAACCAAGATGGTGTGATCAAGTATATGTAGTGATATGTTTGGCACAGTATACAGAGATCTTCAAAACGTTGGAACTGATTCAAGTTTTTTTTTATACTGACTCTGTATTCAAATGCATACCACTGTTAGTAAATACACTGCGTCTTTTGTAGACGGTGGACATTCACAAAGAGAAAGTTGCTAGAAGAGAAATTGGTATCTTGACTACAAACAAAAACACCTCAAGAACTCACAAAATCATTGCACCAGCTAACTTGGAGCGACCAGTTCGCTACATCAGGAAACCTATTGATTATACAATTCTAGATGATATTGGACATGGAGTGAAGGTAGGTGATATTGTTAAAACAGCCAAACTGCAAATACATTGTCTTTGTATATTTTCAAAATAACCTGATGCTTTTCGTGGTAATATACCAGTTTCTCCTTGCCTGGCTAGTGTGTCTATAAACATAAGAGGAGTCCTGTCCAATTTGCAGTTGCACCTTCCTGTTCCCTGGCCCCAGTGTTTCTAAACCTTGCAAACCCACTGAATCTTATATCTGAGGATATTCTGGACTGTGGGTCTCACTTCTGAATACCTACTTGTGTGATGCTGCTATTATTGTTTGAATCAGTTGCCAGGGATATACCTGAGGACTGAAAGGCTAACGACCATCACTTTTCTGCCTGAACTAGCACCACAAAGTATGATCCAGCTGTAATTGCCCCTGGTTTACTCTGAAGCTCACCGAAGAAAGGGTTTACATAGAAGTATTATGTGCTCCCTTTTCTTCTTTCTGTCAGCATCAGTTATACCCATATCCTGTGATGTGCTTTGTTAAAGTGATCTCTCTACAACTTTTGTGCCTTATGGTGTTTCAGCATGGGAATATTGCTGCCAAGTTTGAAGCCAGCTGGTTCTCCCTTTTAGAGTAGGAAAAAAGGAGGAATTTCAGGGCAAAGATCAGACTGAGACACAACTGGTGGCTGTTGTACGCAAGTGTTAGGTCAGTGTACATGACAGCAGTAATGTCATATGTGAGATTAGATAATGCATTTTTTTTTAAAAGCACGTCCTGAATGTAAACACAGTCTCAGCAGGTGTGAGCTCATTGTTAACTTGTGCTGCCAGGAAAACAAATACGGAAATGAGAACACTGACAGTGTTAAAGTTCCAGGAGAAGAAAGGTAAATAACACAGAAGTGGTGTCATTTTTACATGACAAACTAACAAATCTGTAAATGTGCTAAATAGCAGTAAGGTAAGATGCTTCTTCCAGTCAAAGTACACCAGAATTTCTTTTGCTTGACACCTAACGGCTTTAGGTTATCTATGTTGTTCAGTTTGAACTGTTTGGGTAAGTTGTTTAAATGGCAATAGGTTGCTTAACCAAACCCTTAACATTCAAATCTGAACAGTGCTATTTAAATATCTTTCCCAAGCAAGTTTAATCAAGGTCTTCTCAATATCCTATTCGTTAACAAAAAGTCTTTTTTCCCCATTTTTGCCAAAAGATTCAACCTCAGTTTGTAACTCTAAACAGATTTTAAAAAGACAAGTGGCTCTTTAAGCTTGATTTGGAAAACCAAACCAAACAAAAAACACCAGCATTAATAGCTACAGTTTTGACCACAAAATTATTATCAGTCTTGTGTTAAAATCTACTGCCAGTTCCTACAAATTTTGAATTTATGCAGGTCAGCAGAACTCCTTCTGGATATGGATGGAGCATATTAACCTGTAGAATTACTGTTGCTAATATTGTAATGATCACTTTTGTTTTAATGAGATTATTTTATAACTCATTAAAGAATAGTGTTTAATTGCTCTGCACTGAGAACACTGAGCACTCTGGCTCTAAACCATTATAATTGGTATCCCACTTACCTCAATGTAGCAGAATCATACTCACTGTGATGCAATGAATTACGTTCTTCTGAAAGAACGTAGTTCATCAAATGGATGATGACTCAAATCTGTATTTGCATCCATTTGTTATGCTTGTGATATGCTTGAAACATCTTACAAATGATATTTACAATGTACTATATTTATCTAGAAAATGAAAAAGTATTGTGTACTTGTGAGCAGAGAACTTGACATCATGCTATCCTTAAGATCCATAGATCTGTTCCAATCAGGTTAATCCTGTGTTCAGCACAGAAGAAAGAACCACTTTCTTGCTGATGTGGAGAAAGTGGCCAGTTGTGCTTATGAACCTGTTCTGCTTGAGTAACTGCAGATTAGTTTACTAGATTTCTGGCTGGAGAACAAAGAGAAAAAAAAGGGTAGGAGCTTTAAATTTGCCTATTTGTAGCTCTTTATTGCTTGAGCTATGGTATTTTTCCCTTCAAATGAGTATTCAGATGGAGTTATTGGATAAATAGCATTAACGTTTCAGTTAGCATCAGGGCACCTCAGTCTGCATTCTTTGTCTGCTTTCTGCTTTTTCTGCTATAGGGCTTCCCCTCTAGTACTTGGGCCAGAATTATGCATTATCAGTGCAATCAAAGAGCTAATGCAGCAAGCATTCATTGCAACCCCTGAGAAAGATGGCAAACTGGACAGAGAATAATACAGAAGGAAAAGGGAGCATCCTTGGCCAAGTAATCCAGTATGCCATGTTTAGAGAAGTAATTATAGGCACTTGAGCACTTACTCCTTCCATTCAGAAATTCAAAGCATCAATGGATACCATCTTCAGGAAAAGGTGCTCTACAATATGGTTTCTTAGTAGGTGAGAGAGAATTTAAGTGCCATTATATCATTCCAGCAGTCCCTCCTCATCTTTCCTCCCTGAGGCTACAATGCTGCAAAAATCTAAAGAACATTTTGTCTGAAAGAGACTTGCTTTCAATTTTCTCAAATACTTCCTGAATTACAAGGTCTTCCAATCTGTTCCCTCCAAGTCCCTCCAAAGAGTTCTTTAGTCAAGACGATGAAAAAAAAAGAAAGTTTGATCCATTCAAAGTGGTGTGTATTAAGGCACTGAAATTATCAGGCAATGCTGCTGAGGAAGAAGTCTCAGTTCATGGACCCTCTACGATAACTGGCCACTCTGGCAGTACAGGGGAACCTGGTTTTCCAGTGTAGCTGTGTGAAGCAGAGACTCTTTTGGTTGGTAGATCCATGGGACTTTAAACTCAAAGAGAGGAGATTTTCTAGTAAATCAGATTATGTTTCTTTTTTAATATGTTAGGGTCTCTATGAATCTAAATGGATGAAACTGAGTAGTCACTCTGGAAGCTCCACTGTTGAGACTCTGCATATTTAATGTTCAGTGTTACAAAAAGTGTAAGAAACGTAATGATAAGTTTAGATTAGCTGAACTGAAAACAGGTCAAATAATATTCACTAGTATTTTTGTAAAAATTATTACAGGGAAAGAAGATACATGGTATTGTGCCAGTAAGATGTAGGACTTAAATGTCAAAAAGCTAGCACTTAGGGTTTAAAATAAGATTTCACTATTGGTTAATGTCTTAATATATAGTTTAGAAAATACTGATATGTGGTGCAGTATCCATATAGAGTGCTGTACTTCTTCAAGACATAATGATTTGATCGTTGTTCAAGACATCTCATAGCATCAGGTTAAGATTTAACTAACAGCATTGTCTAGGAAAGAGCATATATTAGCTTAATATTCTAGAGGCTAGTTTCAGCTAGTTGTAAATATGCTAATGCGTATAACAAATGAGCTCAGGGTATTGATAAGGCTATTCTTTGACAGTTCAAATAAATTAGTCTCTGCAATTAGTCCATCTAGATCTCATGGTCTATTCTGAAAGAAGCTGACTTTTTGTTAGCACTGCACGAACTTGAGTAAACAGTGTACAAACATTTGAGGATTAATTTTAAGGTGTTAGTCTAAAGGCTTTGTGGTGAATGTATATTAAAAGATTCAGCTTGAAAATCTTTTGTTCATGACACATTCTGCTTTAACCACTCTTTCTATGATCTACTGATACATTATTTTGTTAATGCTGAATGCTTAACTTTTTTCTTTCTTTTTCCTTTCTTTTCATATCCTGAAGTTCCAACTAACCTTTCAATGCTTTTTTTCCTTACCTCTTTTATTTGCTCCATTTATGCATTAAGTGGTTGCTTAGATTTAAGGTAAGAAACCCCAGGGCTGGATTTCCATTCTTATTCTTCTGAGACTATTACACACGGGGAGATGATTAACATGAATGTTACTGATTGTTTAAAACACCCACTCTTCCTCCCGTGTATCAGACCTTCTGTTGAATGATTTGATTGCAGATAAATATTTTGTGATATAAATTGATGTATTTATGTAAGGAAGCTAACACAGTTAATTTTAAAAGCTTTGTGGCAAAATATTGACTGCCTTCAGCATATCTACCAGATCATTTACAAGGGAGAAATGTTGTCCTAACATTGTGTAGACAAAAAGATACAGTGAACAGATAGCAGCTGAATATGGGCCTCCCCCTGTGTAATATTCTTTTTATCCTATATACGGTGTAAGTTATGATTTGATTGGGATTAATGTTTCAGCATGAGGTTGCTCAGATAATGGGCTCCAAAGGTGTGTAACAAATTCAAATCTGTATATTATTTTTTAAAGTTGCAGTATCCTTTATTTTTTCTGAAACCACTAGCACTATTTAAATACTGAGAGGCACTCACATATGGAAATGTTCACAAATTTGATAGTTCTGTAAAATATTTAATAACCCTTAAACAGCAAGCTAGGTGAGTTATTTAGCTGAATATTAAATAGTGCATCAAAGAACTCAGACTGAAGTATGTCAAATTCTCAAGGATCTTAAAGAGGTTTAAATGTTAGTAGCCTTAGTGGCTGCAGAAGTGGCAATAAAAAGCATCAAATCAATTTGACAAGCAGTTAAATGAAGTTACATGATACTGTGTTGGAGTTCATAGCACATATGTTAATAGATAGGTTATAGCCATTATTGAATATTGTGATATCATCATCCTCCTGAAGTGCGACTGGTTTGGGGAAAGAGGGAATGAAAGTTTTTTAGTAGCATCTGCCACAGTTTTGAAGAGGGAATGGTATTTTAGTATTGTATTATTATACTAATATAGAGTATTATATTGACTATATTAATTTAATGAAGTTCCAAGTTGATGTGAAATATTTTTCACAACTAAGTATTTTCCATGACTGGAAAAAGCTAAACGTAAATTCTGCACATTCCTGAAAAGACTGCCTGTAAAACCAGGTATTTACTGTAGATATCCCAATGATGTCCCTATGGAATTGGCCAGATGGCACTTTTAGTAAGGTATATAAGTGTATGTATGTAGTACATCTGATCACAATGGAAATTGTTTAATAAATGAGAGATTTCT